TTTTTTAATTATTTAATTATTTATTTTTTATGAGATGGAGTCTTGCTCTGTTGCCCAGACTGGAGTGCAGTGGCACGATCTCGGCTCACTGCAACCTCCGCCTCCCAGGTTTAAGCGATTCTTCTGCCTCAGCCTCCCGAGTAGCTGGGATTACAGGCGTGCGCTACCATGCCCAGCTAATTTTATATTTTCAGTAGAGATGGGGTTTCTCCATGTTGGTCAGGCTGTTCTTGAACTCCTGACCTCAGGTGATCTGCCTGCCTCAGCCTCCCAAAGTACTGGGATTACAGGTGTGAGCCACTGCGCCCGGTCCCTCCCTAGTTTTATTAATTTTTTTTTTTTTTTTTTTTGAGATGGAGTTTTACTCTGTCACCCAGGCTGGAGTGTAGTGGCACGATCTTGGCTCACTGCAATCTCCACCTCCTGGGTTCAAACGATTCTCATGCCTCAACCACCCTGGTAGTTAGAATTACAGGCACCTGCCACCACGCCTGGCTAATGTTTGTATTTTTTGTAGAGATGGGGTTTCACCCATGTTGGCCAGGCTGGTCTTGAACTCCTGACTTCAGGTGATCCGCCCACTTCAGCCTCCCAATGTGGTGGGATTAGAGACGTGAGCCACCATGTCTGACCCCAAGCCCAAGTTTTATTCTGTAGGCACTGTAATGAAACATGTAGTTCGCTGAGTAAAAGCTTTGTTGAAAAGGCTGGAATCTAGAATTTGTTTTCTTTCTTGAAATAATTCATTCTTGAGATTTCAGAGAGAAGTGAAACTTTTTGTATTTGAACAGCTCTGTATGTACTTGGTATAGGAATGAACTTAGAATACCACTAATAATTATTTAACTTTTTTTTTTTTTTGAGAGGAGTCTCGCTCTGTCGCCCAGGCTGGAATACAGTGGTGCAATCTCAGCTCACTGCAAGCTTCATCTCCCAGGTTCACGCCATTCTCCTGCCTCAGCCCCCCGAGTAGCTGGGACTACAGGCGCCCGCCACGCCCGGCTAGTTTTTTGTATTTTTAGTAGAGACGGGGTTTCACTGTGTTAGCCAGGATGGTCTCGATCTCCTGACCTCATGATCCACCCGCCTCGGCCTCCCAAAGTGCTGGGATTACAGATGTGAGCCACCGCGCCCGGCCAATTATTTAACATTTTATCATGAAATATTTCTGTCTAAAAATATTTGCAGACTACAATCTTGGGAAGATCACACTATTACCTTAATTGTTTGCTTTTAAAATACAACTTTTAAAAGCCTATTTTGGTGTTTGCTTCAGCAGCACGTATACTAAATTGGAACAATCAAGAGAAGATTAGCATGGCCTCTCTGCATAAGGATGACACGCAAATTTGTGAAGTGTTCTATATTAAAAGAAAAATTTTTGGCCTGGGGCAGTGGCTCATGCCTATAATCCCAGCACTTTGGGAGGCCGAGGCGGGTGGATCACCTGAAGTCAGGAGTTTGAGACCAGCCTGGCAAAACCCCATTTCTACTAAAAATAGAAAAATTAACTGAATGTGGTGGCATGTGCTTGTAATCCCAGCTACTCGAGAGTCTGAGGTAGGAGAATCGCTTGAACCCGGGAGTTAGAGGTTGCAGTGAGCTGAGATCACGCCACTGTACTCCAGCCTGGGCGACAGAGTGAGACTCCATCTCAAAAAAATTAAAAACTTTTAAGGACTGTTTTGCCTATTTTGGATAAAAATCTTCCTCAGATGTATGAGACATTTCTGTGTCTTCTTTTTCTTCTTTTTTACACAAGGCCTCGCTGTATCTCCCAGGCTGGAGTGCGGTGGTGCAATCATGGCTCACCGCAGCCTTGACCCACAGGCTCAAGCAGTCCTGCTAGTTCAGTCTCCCCAGTAGCTGGCACCACAGACATGCACTACCATGCCCAGCTGATTTTCCAGTGCCTTAAACGGGATATTAATCATCATTACAAAAGTGATTTACAGCCTGGCCAACGTGGTGAAACCCCATCTCTACTAAAAAAAAAAAAAAAAAAAAAAAAAATTAGCCGGGCTTGGTAGTGGGCACCTTTGATCCCAGCTACTTCGGAAGCTGAGGCAGGAGAATCACTTGAACCCAGGAAGCAGAAGTTGCAGCGAGCCGAGATCACGCCATTGCACTCCAGCCTAGGTGACAAGAGTGAAATTCTGTCTCAAAAAAAAAAAAGCAATTTAATTCATTTACCTCATTGTGATCAGGGCCACAATTGGAAACTTGAGTTGTTATACTTGTAATAATATTCTCAGAACTGATTGACTTATAAGGAAGAACTGTTTGCCTCATACCAAATTGCCCAAGACTAATTGACGTACTTGAGTTTTTTGATTCCTCAGTGTGCCAAGTTCCTCTTTTCCTAGAGGAGCTATGCATAGTTCCAGATCCGATTTGTGGTTTCCAATTTATTGTGGATTAAAATAACCTGATAACATTAGTTTATTAGAATTACATGTAAAACAAAAGTAAAAAGCCTTTGCCGGGAATGAAGGGGCTGTGCTGTGATCGGAATCCAAGTGAGTACTGCTACTCTGAGTGGTCATATATGTAAATCCCCTTTAGGAGAGGTGTTATTGTAATTGACTGAAAGAGGGGTTGAATTTAATCAGTATTATTGGGGGCTGTTGGCTGATGTTTAGTAATCTAGTGGCTTAAAACCTGACAGGAGAGACATGGCTACTTGTCCGTTGTAATATAATACTTGGCGTTGGTGACTCTAGAGAGGAAGGATTATGTTTTCCAAATTAGCAGGCGGTGGTATATAAGCCCCAGAAGACAGATGAAACCTAAAAAGAAAAAAGCTCCTTTCTGGTCTGAATTCTGTAATTCTGTAAGTACAGAATATGTTGGTAGATAGAAAGATTACCCAAAACCCGAAACAGCAAGTAGAAGATTGTTCATGTAGGAACAACATATAAGGGACAAGGGTGGAAAAAAGACTAGATTTAAGCAGTAAAAGATCATTAAGCGAGGCTTCGTCACTTCTCCAGTAGGACAGTTATTATTGGGATTTAAGGAGGGGCTTATCAATAAATACTATGTTGTCCTTCCCTTTCTAAATTTGAAATCAACTGAGAAGTAGATAACAAAAAAATTGAAATTTTTTTTTAAAAAAATAGCCTTATTGGTGAGGCTCAATGGAGAATATGCCATAGATCTGTGCCCAAGTGAGCTTGCTAACATCCTCCCTCCCAATTAAACTTAACAGGATAGCCGGGCGCGGTGGCTCACGCCTGTAATCCCAGCACTTTGGGAGGCCGAGGCAGGCGGATCACGAGGTCAGGAGATCGAGACCATCCTGGCTAACACAGTGAAACCCTGTCTCTACAAAAAATACAAAAAATTAGCCGGGTGCTGTGGCGGGTGCCTGTAGTCCCAGCTACTCGGGAGGCTGAGGCAGGAGAATGGCGTGAACCCGGGAGGCAGAGCTTGCAGTGAGCCGAGATCGCGCTACTGCACTCCAGCCTGGGCGACAGAGCGAGACTCCGTCTCAAAAAAAAAAAACTTAACAGGATAATAGACATCTGGAACTTCCACCCCACTCCCGACTCCACCCACCCCACTGCAGGTTGCTTAGTACAGGACCTATAGACAAAGGCTGGCATCCTGCACACTGTGCTTAATCCTGCTGGTGCTTCAGCTCTCTTGAAGAGCCCAGGAGGGGCTGGGCCACGGGTGACTAGTTTCTTCTAGTTGTCAGAGGGTTGAGGAATGAGGTCTGGAACATTATAGCTGTAGACTTTACTTTCTCAGGAAGATTTGAGGCTGCCAAATAGTGGCCCTCCACTACCAGTATGCTCGTATGGTGCTTTTTCCCACCCTTTATAGAAGACTGAACCATGAACTTAAATTACATATTTTAGACCAAAGAGAATTATAGATCTCTGTCCTTAAAAACTCATAAAATATCTTTGGCTGGGTGTGGTGACTCATGCCTGTAATCCCAGCACTTTGGGAGGCTGAGGCGGGTGGATCACAAGGTCAGGACTTTGAGAGCAGCCTGGCCAACGTGGTGAAACCCTGTCTCTACTGAAAATACAAAAATTAGCCGGGCATGGTGGCACACGCCTGTAATCTCAGCTACTCGGGAGGCTGAGGCAGGGGAATTGCTTGAACCCAGGAGGCAGAGGTTGCAGCGAGCTGAGGTTGTGCCACTGCACTCCAGCCTGGACAACAGAGTGAGACTCCATCTCAAAAAAAAAAAAAGGAAAAAAACCCTCATAAAATAGGGGGAAATGTGTCTGGCTTCAGACACTTGGGATAATTTGGAGGCAAAGGCAGAGACTGGATACTTGCCTAGCAGCCTCTGTGTAGATGCTAATTAAAGAAGTATTTGCCTGGCCAGGCGCGTTGACTCATGCCTATAATCCCAGCACTTTGGGAGGCTGAGGCGGGCAGATCATGAGGTCAGGAGATTAGGACCATCCTGGCTTACACGGTGAAACCCCATCTCTACTAAAAATACAAAAAATTAGCCAGGCGTGGTGGCAGGCACCTGTAATCCCAGCTACTTGGGAGTCTGAGGCAGGAGAATCACTTGAACCCAGGAGGCAGAGGTTGCAGTGAGCTGAGATTGCACCGCTGTACTCCAGCCTGGGCGACAGAGCAAGATTCTGACTCAAAAAAAAAAAAAAAAAAAGGTATTTGCCGTCTCACTAAAATACCTCCTGTTCAATTTGTCCACCGCCCCTTGCCATCCGTGAAGGGTTTCACAGTGAAAACCAGAAACCCTGCCCAGACACATTCTAAAAGAGCTGTAACACTTCAATTTGGTTTTGAAGTCTTGCCAGCAAAATCCTGACTAAGGCTTTTCTATTTTTGTTAAATATCTGTCAGTCATAATCTGAAAACTGTAATTATTTTCAAGGTTACCTAATTCAGTAGAAGAATTACTCTTTTCATAGTAAGGATTCAGTCATACAGAGTAACAAACTGCTGGTTTTGAACTTGTTAGTTTGTTCTTGCTAATTCTTCTCCCTCCCTTTTCTCCTTTCCAGAATCGTATTCTAAGAATTCAGCCACTCAAGTATCCACCATGGTATTGGGTCTTGAACAGAAGATGTCAGATGGTAATTTACCGCTTTGTATTATTGCCTAATTTTATTTGTAATTAGATTTATGTTGGTAACAAATTTATCATATTTTTCCTCTTGTCATCATCTATCATCATCTAGTCTAACAATTCCATTCAAAAGTCACCATCTGGTGACTTAGGCTGTAAATGAAAATGGATTTTTTTTTTTTTTTTTGAAGTGGAGTCTTGCTCTGTTGCCCAGGTTGGAGTGCAGTGGCGCAGTCTCGGCTCACTGCAACCTCCGCCTCCTGGGTTCAAGTGATTCTCCTGCTTCAGCCTCCCGAGTAGCTGGGACTAAAGGCACATGCCACGATGCCTGGCTAATTTTTGTATATTTAGTAGAGACAGGGTTTCGCCATGTTGACAAGCTGGTCTTGAACTCCTAACCTCAGGTGATCTGCCCGTCTCAGCCTCCCAAAGTGCTGGGATTACAAGCATGAGCTACTGTGCCTGTCCTGAAAACATAATTTTTTTTTTTTTTTTTTTTTGAGGCGGAGTTTTGCTTTAGTTTTCCAGGCTAGTGCGCAGTGGCACTATCTCAGCTCACTGCAACCTCCGCCTCCCAGGTTCAAGCAATTCTCCTGCCTCAGCCTTTCGAGTACCTGGGATTACAGGCACCTGCTGCCATGCCTGGCTAATTTTTTTGTATTTTTAGTAGAGATGGGGTTTTGCCATGTTGGTCAGGCTGGTCTTGAACTCCTGACCTCAGGTGATCCACCCGTCTCGGCCTCCCAAAGTGCTGGGATTACAGGCATGATCCACCGCACCCAGCCCTGAAAACAGATTTTTAACCAGAGACCTGCTTCATATCTTTTTTTTTTTTTTTTCTGAGACAGAGTCTCTGTCGCCCAGGCTGGAGTACAGTGGCGCGATCTCAGCTCACTGCAAGCTCCGCCTCCCGGGTTCGCGCCATTCTCCTGCCTCAGCCTCCTGAGTAGCTGGGACTACAGGCACCCGCCACCTCGCCTGGCTAGTTTTTTTTGTGTGTGTGTTTTTTTAGTAGAGACGAGGTTTCACCGTGTTTGCCAGGATGGTCTCGATCTCCTGACCTCGTGATCCGTCCGTCTCGGCCTCCCAAAGTGCTGGGATTACAGGCTTGAGCCACTGTGCCCGGCCTGCTTCATATCTTTTTTATAATTCTGAGTTGAGCCAAGATTAGTTGTAATTTGGTTTCTGGCAGTAATGCTTACAAGGACAATATTATTCCCAGACCCAGGATAAAAACCTCTGGTGTGCTTTGACTGCTCATGATACTTCCTGGTGTTTCAGATGTGTATGGAGCGGTAAAATACAGGGCGAGTACCTTACGCTCTGTATTTGATTGGAGCTTCTTGAGTGCTTTGACTATTTCTTCCTAAATCTGAGCTTCTTCTTTGGAATTTCTGTTCCTTTTCTATAAATTTCTTCATGAATTCAAAGCTGCTTAATTAAGATGATATGAGTCAGCTCCCGAAGGAAGAAAGCTCTTATTTGTTTAAATTAGAGGTTTTAAGGATTTATTGGAAACGCAGAGATTAGAGCTTTGTGATTCAAAATAGCCATTTGATGGCTGAAGCAAACTAGCCTCTGTGTATTTCTGGCAGGTTATCCCCTTTTCTCCCAGACGTTCTGCTTCCCAGTATTTAAGATTGACTGCAAAATGCAGAACTCAGGGAAACGCTGATATCAGTCTGAGATGAGCCCTGCCATCACGAGGGTGCCAGTACCCCGTGACCAGCGGCACTTTACTGCAAGCCTTAGTCAGAGTACAAAGGGTTCCTGCTTGGTGGTTTTGCTGCAGCTTCAGAGTTTAGCCTGAATTGTAGCAGGATTTTGTAACTTGCACCTTTTTTGAGAAGTCTGACGGAGGTATAATGTCCAAGGACAATTCTTTGAGTAAGTCCTACCAAATATAGGAGGTGGGGAGGACATTTCGCTAGATGGGCCTAATTCTTTTCTTTTAAAAGCTAGGATTTTAGGTTACCAGGAGCTGGTCTGGGAATGTAATATTTTGAGCCCATATGTCAGTGTTTTTAGAGGAAAATGAAATGGCTCTAAAAATTCCCAAGTAGGAATAGAAGTGTGGAAATAGGAAAACCATTGTGAGTTAAAACTCTTCTAGGGAGCTGAGTGACTGGGGGAGGGGAGGGAGATAACTTTTTTAGTGTAGGCTAAATTTTTTACTTCCTGAATTTTTAACCATGTGAATGTATTACTTATTATAAAATATACATTAAAAATAAACTATTCAAAATAAGTTGAGCTAGAGTCAGGTTGGTCTCTTGTGCATTTAGGTATTAAACTATTTAATTTTAATTTCAGTATAGTAAGGATGAATTGTTAGTGTATTTTGTTCATTTTTTACTAATTTATTTTCAAATCTGTTAATTCAGACAGCGTTTCTGGAGATCATGGGGAGTCTGCCTGTCTTGGTACTGTCAACCCTGTCTCTAGTAATCCCTCTCTTCCACGGTCCCCTGGGGACTCAGAAGAGTACTTCGCCACTTACTTTAATGAGAAGATCTCCATTCCTGAGGAAGAGGTTAGTATCAGGTCCTTGGAGGAGAGCACTATGGTCTGGGGAAAACCTGTGAGTGAAAGATCTGCTGGATGGCTCAGGGTCAGCAGCCTCAGCTCTAATTTTGGCTAGAAGTCTCTGAAAACTGTATATATATACACATATACATACACACACACACACACACACATCTATCTATATCTATCTATCTGCCTACCTATCTATCTGTCTGTCTGTCTATCTATATGTTTTTTTTACAGACAGGATCTTGCTCCATCATCTAGGCTCCAGTACAGTGGCACAACCATAGCTCACTGTAGCCTTGAATTCCCGGGGTCAAGTGATCCTCCCACCTCAGCCTCCCCAGTAGCTGGGACTATAGATGGCCACCATGCCAGGCTCATTATTTTTATTTTTGTTTTTAGAGACAGGGTCTCACTATGTTGCCCAGGCTGGTCTTGAACTCCTGGCCTCAAGCTATCCTTCCTCTTGTTCGTTGATGAAAAAGAGTCAAACTCTGGCTGGGCCCAGGCTCACATCTATAATCCCAGCACTTTGGGAGGCTAAGGAAGGAGGATCGCTTGAGCCTAGGAGTTCAAGACCAGCCTGGCCAACATGGTGAAACCCGGTCTCTACAAAAAATACAAAAATTATCTGGGCATGGTGGTGTGCACCTGTAGTTCCAGCTACTCGGGAGGCTGAGGTGGGAGGATCACTTGAGCCCAGGAGGCAGAAGTTGCAGTGAGCCAAGATCATGCCATGGCACTTCACTCTGGGTAACAGAATGAGACCTCCTGTCAAAAACGAAAACCAAAACAAAACAGGTCGGGCGCAGCGGCTCACACCTGAATCCCAGCACTTTGGGAGGCTGAGACAGGCAGATCACCTGAGGTTAGGAGTTCGAGACCAACTTGGTCAACATGGTGAAACCCTGTCTTTACTAAAGTTACAAAAGTTAGCTGGGCGTAGTGGTGGGTGCCTGTAATCCCAGCTACTCGGGAGACTGAGGCTGGAGAATCACTTGAAGCTGAGAGGCAGAGGCTGCAGTGAGCCAAGATTGTACCACTGCACTCCAGCTTGAGTGACAGAGTGAGACTCCATCTCAAAACAAACAAACAAACAAGAGTCAAACTCTGTGAAATATTTAAAGAGGTTTATTCTGAGCCAAATATGAGTGACCAAGGCCCGTGACACAGCCCCAGGAAGTCCCGAGAACAGGTGGTTGGGTAACAGCTTGATTTTATACGTTTTAGGGGTCAGAAGTTACAGGCAAACATCAGCCAATATATGTAAGGTGTACATCGGTTCCATCAGGAAAGACAACTTGAAGTGGGGAGGGGGCACCTTTCAGGTCAAAGGTGGATTTAAAGATTTTCTGCTTGGAAGTTGATTGAGGCTGGGTGCAGTGGCTCATACGTGTAATTCCAGCACTTTGAGAGGCTGAGGTGGATGGATTGCTTGAGCCCAGGAGTTCAACATGATGAGACTTTGTCTCTACTTAAAAAAAAAAAGAAAATAGTTGGGTGTGGTGGTGCACACCTGTGGTCCCAGCTACTTTGGAGGCTGAAGTGGGAGGATTGCTTAAGCCCAGGAGTTTGAGACCAGCCTGGGCAACATGGCAAAACCCTGTCTCTACAAAAATAAAAATAAATTAAAAAAGAAATTGGTTGAAAGAGTTATTTTCTAAAGACCTGGTGTAAAATGGGGGGCTGTGGAGTGTCTAAAATGAGGGGTTGTGGAGACCAAGGTTTTTATTATGTAGGTGAAGCCTCCACGTAACAAGCTTCAGAGAAAATAGATGTAAATGTCTTTTATCAGACTTAAAAAGGTACCAGACTACTAGTTAATTCTCTCCTGGATCAGGAAAAGACCTGGAAAGGGAAGGAGATTCTCTACGTATTCTAGGTTTTGCTCATAAGAGATGGCTTTGCAGGGTCATTTCAAAATATACAAAGAAATATATTTTGGAGTAAAATACTTTGATTTCTTTCAGGGCCTGTTATCTGTCATGTGATGGTATGCTAGAGTCTGGTTAGAATTTGGCATGTTATTGCTATAAGGGATGTGTTTTGTCAGTTTTAAGATCTCTGGTTTTGCTTGTTTGTTTGTTTGTTTTGAGAGGGAGTTTCACTCTTGTTGCCCAGGCTAGAGTGCAATGTTGCGATCCCGGCTCACCACAATCTCCTCCTCTTTGGTTCAAGCGATTCTCCTGCGTCAGCCTCCCAAGTAGCTGGGATTACAGGCATGTGCCACCATGCCTGCCTAATTTTGTATTTTTAGTAGAGATGAGGTTTCTCCATGTCGGTCAGGCTGGTCTCGAACTCCCAACCTCAGGTGATCCACCCACCTCAGCCTCCCAAAGTGCTGGGATTACATGTGTGAACCACTGCGCCCACCCGGCCAAGATCTCTGTTTTAATGCTAGTCATTGGTGTTGGAATTCTAAAGGGAAGGGGGTATAATGAGGTTTGTCTGACCTCTCCCTCCCATCATGGCCTGAACTAGTTTTTCAGGTTTTCTTTGGAATGCCCTTGGTCAAGAAGAGGATCCATTCAGTTGGTTGGGGAAGCTTAGCATTTTATTTTTGTTGCTCTCCCCACTGTCCCGAGTAGCTGGACTACAGGCACACACCACACACCACCACACCTGGCTTGTTTCCTTTTTAAAATGGTGGCTCTTGTCCTTTTTGGGAAGTGTTTGGGCACAGAGGTACCAATACTGTTATTCTAGTTTTAGAATAAGAGGCTGATGGAACCCGCAGGTAAGGGAGGGGCTCTGACTTAGAGAAGTGGCCAGCTTCTTAATAAAAAGTGGGTGAAATGGAAGTGAAACTTGGACACATGCAATATCTGACATTGTAAATCCTTTTTTCTTGTGAGACTGGTGTTGTTGCTTCATATGTGATAACAGATCAATTAGATCAGTAGTTCAATAGTGATGTTCAGTTTAATCTCTTTTCCTCTCTTGTCTAGTACTCTTGTTTTAGCTTTCGTAAACTCTGGGCTTTCACCGGACCAGGCTTTCTTATGAGCATTGCCTACCTGGATCCAGGAAATATTGAATCCGATTTGCAGTCTGGAGCAGTGGCTGGATTTAAGGTGAACATCTACTCCTACCCCTGTCCTTTTAAACACACAATACACTCTCACATCCTTTTCTCCACCCTGCATGTTGGATAGTAACCTCAGGGGCTACGTGCAGATACTTCATTGGCAGTGGCTTTTATATGTAAAGTACTTTCCATTTGATCTTATTTTTATCCACATAGTTTCCTTGAACAAAGGAGAAACTGCATATAGGAGAAACTGAGGCTCAGAAAGGTACAAGGTGACTTAGCAGGTCATGTGCAAAACCTGATATAGAACTCAAGTCATTTGATTCTTGACCTGGGCTCTTTTCTGAATGCAGTATTTACCACTCATGTTGCCAAACAACTAAACAAACAAACAAACAAAGCTCAGTTGTTCAATGAGTGTTACAGGATATTTTGTTCTTCTTAGTTGCTCTGGATCCTTCTGTTGGCCACCCTTGTGGGGCTGCTGCTCCAGCGGCTTGCAGCTAGACTGGGAGTGGTCACTGGGCTGCATCTTGCTGAAGTATGTCACCGTCAGTATCCCAAGGTGAGCAATGTACTGTCCTGTTTGTCTCTCACTCATGCCGTAGAAATCTCTGTGTCTGGCAGTATGTGCTGGCCTCATGATATAGTGAGACAGTCAAGGACTTGGGGGTCAGTAGCCCTGAAGACGGATGGTACCAAGGGAAATACTGTAGCTCCTCCTGCTGCCAGGCCATATTTTCCCCGCTCCTTCAAAATCTAACTTAAGACTCACATTTCCTGGAAGGTTTTCTTAGAAAAACTGTGTTACAATTCACTCTGGCTTCCAGTATCTGGCAATGCCCAGCCCGCAGGGAGGAGGATACTCTCTTTAAGCACTTTTATTCATACCTCCATGGTACTCCATCAGTTTGCATTTTATATATTTTCTTTTTTTGTTTGACTTTGCTATCACTTTGTAAAAGTAAGTTTTTTTCCTTTTACTACAAACTATATGTGGCAGGATCTTTGGATTTGCTAATAATTATTTTTCGGTTTCCCTTTCCCCCGGGGGCTACACTGTCCTCTACAGGTTCCTTCTGGACATTTTGGGCCTTTCTTTTTTTTTTTTTTTTTTTGAGACAGAGTCTCGCTCTGTCACCCAGGCTAGAGTGCCGTGGCCGGATCTCAGCTCACTGCAAGCTCTGCCTCCCGGGTTTACGCCATTCTCCTGCCTCAGCCTCCCGAGTAGCTGGGACTACAGGCACCCGCCA